TAATGCCGATATTCTAGCGGGCGGTACGCTAGTATTTTAAATCTAATACCAGGTTCGTACTTGCGTTTAGAGTTTATAAAAATAGATATTATAGTACTAATATACTGGTAAGCAGAATATTAACTCTTTAAATTTAATATTAACTTTATAGCTATATTTAGAATTTATAAGAATAGATAATATAATACTAATATTCTAACGGGCGGTTCGCCGGTAGCAGAATGGTTATAATCCGGAATATAGCATCGGCAACTATAACAAATAATATCTAATAACGTTACAGTACCCGGCGTTCGTTATAAAAGTTCCGAGGACGGAATTTATAAGGGGGGGGGTTATATTAGGAGGCTAAGAGTTCGTATATAGAAGCACTTTAATAATTACTATTCCCCTTCGTTAATAGAAGTATAGGATTATTTATAATAATGCCTATATCGGGTCGGATTCGTAGGAAGGATAATCCGGCACTGTGCCGAGGCGCTAAATTAGTATAAGGTTCTATAATATTCGTTAGCGGAGGAATAGAGTTTATACAAGTATAAAAGAGGTTTAACGGAGCATATCTTATTATAATCGGTAATTATCAATACATTTTTAAATTAACCCCTAACTTACCGTCCGCTACGTATAGCCACGACCGTAGTCACCTCAACCTACCTTTCGCCTACGTTCCTAACAAAAAGGAAGGAAAGGGCAAAAAGTAATTAGAAATTAAAGCTATTCCTCCGCCGGCGGTAATTTTAATTCGAAATAATTAATAAGGTTAGTACTGGCGAAAGTGCTATTGAAGTATACCCTCCAGAATTACCCTTATTGTCAGATCCGTTTAATTTAAATAATTCGATTATCAAAAGAGCGAAGCTAACTACCTCTAATATAATTTCGTCAAACAACCCTCTTAATCCCTCAAACCCGGCCAACGAATAGCCTACCTATAAAAAACGTACTATAATACCTTGGCTAATACCTCTAGTAATAATTAGAAGCGGTAGAACTATAAAACCCCTTAAGAAAGAGGTTAGAGAGGTAAAAGAGTAGAGGACTATTATAAAGTAGATAGATTAAAATATTTTAATTTACTACCTCCACTTTCAAATACGTAGGTAACCTCTAGTTAACATTAAGAATCTGGATGTTAAAAGCCATAGTCAATATCACAAGATTAGGGATTATAGTGGCACTGCCCGCGTAGTAATCCGTTTTCAAATATCCCTCTAGGGGCAGTGACACTGCCCCCGGATAAAAGTGACACTACCCCCCGAGTAAGTCTCTTAACAATATAGAGCAAGGTACAAAGGCCGAATCCCTAAGTATAGGCTAGCGTACGTATATATATACGTAATATACTATTAGCCAACAGCGGTAATAGCGCAATGTAAGGCTCAATTGCTTATAGTAGGAAGCGTGTATATATTAGGTGTCACGGCACGTAGACTGGGCAAGTGGCTGGCACTGCTAATCTGACGAATGTAATAAATAATTAACTATGGGGAGTAAAAGAGAAGAAAAGAAGTGCTGCTCTAACTAGCACAACTAAATATAGGAAGGAAGTGGGTCCCAAGAAGGGATACACCCAATTAGACAATACAGGTAAATACGATAAGGATGCGTCCAATTAGAAGGCTCAGATAGGAGTACGGACTATGGGAGTGGTTTTAGTAATTAGTCTGGCTTAGCTATAATATTACCCCCCCGGCGGAAGAAAGACTCAGACCTAGAGTTAATAAATAACTATTAGAAATCTATTAATCTACGTAATTATTAAGGTACTCGCAGAGCCTCAACTTAGTTCTATATCCCTGGGACTAATTAGTTTAAGTTGCAATCTTATTTAGCTAATCCATCGCTATAATACACGCATTCCAATTTGCGCTTAAAATTATTGAACGAATAAAAAGTACGAGAATTGTAATTTAAAATTAAAATATTATTATTATTATCGTTATCGCTATTGTATAAAGCTGCGACCGTATTGAACTGGGCGTGAGAAATTGAAGTTTAGGGAGTCGTAGCCATAGTGTTGGGAGTGGGAGGTAAAGCCTTATTGGGAACCTTATAGGAAATTATATAATTAAATTTAATTGAATTTAGCGCAGCTTGAATAACGTCGATATCCATAGCATTTTTATCCTTATAATTACCGCTATATTTGCTAGAGAAGTAAATAGATCCGAGTACCTCCTTCAGCTTGTCGACGTAATCTACGTAAGTAGTTGGCTGGGGACGAATCTATAGTACTTATTTGCGAGTCTCCTTATTGAGAGCTTAATAGAGGAGGGAGATCTTTGTAGGTTCGGATTAGATATTAGCTTGAGCCTTATAGAGTAAGTGTTTAAATTTTATAATAAATATATTAAATGGATCTTCGTATTATCAAATAGTATATAAGGCGGTTTTGGTTTATTGGACTTTGTTAGAATTATTATAAATACGGGTTAATTGGTTAAGGAACGTTTAGGGGTCGAAGACGTTACTATTAGAGGATTAAATTAATTATAGTATAATTAAGGTTTAGATTTTTCTATTAAGGCGGGAATAGATGTAAAAGAATTGTGCTTTAGTATTACTAATAACCTTATTATCGAATTTAAATTTTATATAGATTATAGATAGTTAAGTTTTAAAAGAGAAGTTGATTCTAGTAAATTTGTTGGTATTAGGTAATTTTACCTTAGGGGTAGGTACTTTACTAACGGTTTTAATTAATAAAGAGAGCTTCTTATTTAAAATATTTATATTGGAAAGTATGTTTTAAATAGTTTTTTTAATATGTTGGATTGCGATATTATAGTTTTTTAGAATTTGTTCGGGCGTTGGCGCTAAGGCTTATTACTAATTTTGGTCTACTATTATAAAAAAATATTAAGGGTAATAGATTGAGATGGTATAATTACGTAAACGGGCGCGCTTTAGTTATAATTGACTAAATACGATAATAGTAGTTATTGATATAAAGAAGAGAAAAAATAAGTACTTTTAAGGGTGGGTAGGTTAAATTACCTTTTGAAGGTGGTAAAGTGAAAGAAGTGAATATTAAATACAATTTAATAAAATTAGAGAAGTAAATAGTTGGTTGAGACAATATTAATTAATTGGTATTAATAATATAAATCGTAATTTAATACGGTTAGAAAAAAGAAAATCCGGGTTCTAGACCTCTCTACTAATATAACGAATCTTAGGGTTATATATAATCTTCTATTTTTAATTATAAACCTTCTAGCGCGTTAGTAATGTAGTCTATATAATACCTCGCATATCTCGCATTAGGGTACTAGGGTATACAACCCTAATTAATAAGGTAATAAGCGCCTTATTCAATTAAGTATAAAAATTGGGTTCCGTTGGTCGGGTAATTATTAATACGGTACAGTTTTATTCTTAGCGGTACTAATTGAAGAAAGGGATTATAATTGCTAATTAATTAAATATATTTAATTAATTAGAAAAGGGATAGTTAATTAAGTATTACGGCACGTAGATTGGGTAAGTGGCTGGTACTACTAATCTAACGAATGTAATAAATAATTAACTATAGGGAGTAAAAGAGAAGAAGAGAAGTGTTGCTCTGGCTGGTACGATTAAATATAGGAAGGAAGTGGGTCCCAAGAAGGGATGTACCCAATCAGACAACACGGGTGGATGCGATAAGGATGCGCCCAACCAGAAGGCTCAGATAGGAGCACGGACCACGGGAGTGGTCTTGGCAACCAGTCTGGCTCAGCCATAATACTAGGCAGTTACGGCTAATCCTATAGTAATTTTCCTTTTTATTCTCTTCTTTGAATATAACATTTCAACCTTGCACAACTATTTGCTATATAATATTCTAGTAAACCCGTAATATAAGTTATTAAAGATGGTATAAAAGTTCCTTATATAGAAATTTAGAGAGTTAAATGTAGGTTATATGTCTAGTTATAACGTTAAAACTTATATTCAAAAATTTACAAAGAATGAAAAATTAATTTAATACTACTCTTAACTTTATATAATAAGGTTTATTGAAGTTATATTTAGAAAAGGAAAGGTATATCCTTATATAAATAGAATTTTATTCTCCTACGGATGAAAGCTCTCTTATATTAATACTATTTATATATTAAGTTATATATATTAGTTAGAGTCTAATTACTTTATATATAATATATAATTAGCTTGAAAGTATAAGACTTCTTTTCGATCAGGTGAAAGGAATAATATAAACTATGGATTAACAATTATGAAACAACTTTCGAGCTCGGGTGACGCAGTGGTTAGCGTGTTGCTCTTATACTTGTGTTTTAAAATACTTGTTATGCAAAGGTCGCGGGTTCAAGTCCCGCCTCGAGCAGCTTTTTTTTTTTTATTAAATTTATTACTAGAAATTTATTAACTCAAATATAATTTTTATTTAATAAATTATTTATTACTAAATGTTAGTATAGATAAACCTTATATAATATGTGATTACTAACTTGATAATCTGTAATATAGTATTATATTTATTTTCTCTTCTCCTATACCAATTATCTTTTCTTACTAGTCTCTTCTTATACAAGCTCGACGCTGTGTAGAGTCGACTCGTTCTAGGAGACAAAGCGTGGGCTAGAAGTCACGTAGAAGCTGCAGGCAGCCGGGTACCGGACCAGATCGTAAGCCGATTAATCTGCGACTGGGTTTACGGCGGACGCTGTTAAGCACGTGGCCCCAGTTAAGCCTTCAAGTTCGAAGCTACTTTGCTGAGTGGTGCTGTCAAATTTTCGTCAGTAAAAGTGCACTCTGGATGATGATACTGACAATATATTGTGCTTACTTGTAGCGCTTAATATATTTCTTACAAAGGACAGGTCTAGTTGGACCCACTGGTTCTTTTCTTGAGATATATATTGATTCATTGATAGAACAGTATTGTGTCCCTGAGCTACTCCTATCCCTGTTTGCTTTCACTTACAGTATATACGCACTAAAAGAGAAACTAAGGGAGAGACGAAGATGACATAGTGATATCCAGCACGTCCCTATCCTTGGAATGAGACGATCTTAGACTTTGCACATACCGCCTTTGCCAATGTTTGAATCGACCCGCTTGATGGAAGCTCCAGCACCTGAAGATTCGCTTCAAAGTCACGGGTAATAAAGTTGCGATTCTCGATAGCAACCAAAGAATTAAGGGGATAGTGTGAGAGAGATCGTGTGATATCTACGTCCTCCGCATCAAGCATTAACACAGACGAAATCTTCTTTACCAGTCCTTTGCAGACGACGTCTTCGGCCTCGGTGAGTGATTTGGCATTCTGCAAAGATGCACTGAACGACACAACCATGTTCATTGATGCATTCTTTGCCGCCTCATCCTCTGCTGCCATGCGCATAGCCTTGAATTTTGCATCATCGGCCCAGAACGGTCGCATTGTCGAGGTAATACGCATGCCGGTAATCGTATGATTGTTGCAGGCCAACGTGAGCTTTCCACTAATGGCGGCATGCAACAGGGCGAGGACTTCTGCCTCGCATATCGTATCGCTACCAAGATTCCGGGCTACCTCAGCAGCCTTTTCCGGGTCTTCAGCCAGATAGCCGGAATCGAAAACAGCGGTGAGGTCAAGAGATGACGCGGGAAGACCATGGGCAAGCCGGTACTGGACCAAAGAATTCAGGAAGCACTTTGCGGCACTATATGCCGCTTGCCCACGGTTCCCCACGGCACCAGCTGCGGAAGAAATGGCCACGAAGAAGTCAAGTGGCGAGGTCAACAATGCACGGTGAAAGTTCCAACCATCTTGAACTTTACCGTTGATGACTTCGGTATAGTCAGTCCATGTCATTTTCTCGAACAGAACGTCCTACAGAGAAACGTTAGCTATAACCATAATCAGCTGCATGCTAAGCGAAGCGTTCACTGGACTTACGTGTAATACCATCGTGCCCAGCACAATACCCCTAATAGGGGGTAGCCCCTGTAGCCCAGTTCGAATGAGCTCGTCCACTTCAGTCTCGTTGACCACATTGCAGCGGCGGACATGAACGCTCACTCCCAGCATAGAGAGGTCTTCGGCAAGTTCCTTGACCTTGCCGATAACGGAAGCGCTTCTCGAGACAAGAACGATGTTTTGCGCCCCCTTTCCTGCCATCCATCGCGCAATACTCCTTCCGAGACCACCGGTGCCGCCAACCAAGATATATGTTGCATCGGAATGAAGGAGGTCCTTTAACCGACGTGATGGCGGGGCCTGTGACCTAGAGTCAGCACTGACGTGATAGAAAGGAGGTGGAGTGTGGCCCTGAAGGACTTACCTTGACAAAATCAGACCTACTTAGAGCCACCACTGCCTTGCCCATAGTCGAGCCGCTTTGTTGCATCTTCAAGGCCCCCTCAATATCCGAAACTGGAAAGACAGTAAGCGGGCTCGCCGACCGAACCTTTCCATATCTGAGAAGTCGGGCAACATCGGCAAACACGCGTTTGAGAACCTTCGGCCGTTCGGCCAACAGAGCAAAGATGTCAACAGAAACAAAGCTAGCGTTTCTCTTGGCAGCGGATACTTCGGTTCGAGACTCTGAGGCAGAGTCTCGCTTGCCTATATCCACGAGCCGTCCAAACTTGCCGAGAGATTCCCAAGATTCCCGTAGGCCATCGCCAACCAGCGAATTGAGGATAACATCTACACCCCTGCCATATGTAGCACGGCGAATAGTAGGCCCAAAACTAGTGTCGCGACTGTACAAGACATGATCGGAAGGAAGACTGAACTCATTGATGAGCAGCTCCTTCTTCTCAGCGCTCCCAACCGTTGCGAAAATCTCAGCTCCAATCATCTGAGCGAGGCAAATGGCTGCTTGACCGACGGCCCCTGCTGCTTGGTGAATGAGAACTGTTTCTCCCTCAGCCAAGCGCCCGACATCAACCAGGCTGTAGTACGCAACGCAGTATCCAAGGGGCAATGTGGCAGCTGCTTCAAAGGAGATGTGTCCTGGAACCTTGATTGCTAAGCTTGCAGTTGCCCTCGTTCGTGTCGCAAAAGCGCCTTGCGTGAGCGCTGCAACGCGATCGCCAACCTTGAAAGCGGAGACACTGCTCCCAACAGCGACGACAATCCCGCTTGCTTCAGCACCCGACATGGTGATGGGAATTTGGCCCTTTGCAGCCATGGCGTCCCGGAAACTCAAGCCGACAGCCTTGACCTCAATCTCAAGTTGATCAATTGCTAGTGGCACTTCCAGTGAGTGATCGTCGACGAAGTGAAGTGTATGTAAAGCACCGGGCGCAGATATCTCTGGCCTCAGAAGTCGGCCGTCGTCACCAAAAGCGGTTGGCTCTAATGCTCTTGAATTTGTCAAGGTTTGCACTTCTTGGTCAGTTTCTCTGTCATGGGTGATACGCGGAGTGAAAAGCGATCTTCCCCTCTCCATGAACTCCAGTTCACTCATCGACGAAGAAGCAGACCCAAAAGCCATCTCTGCGGCCTTGGCTTCCGAGAGGGGAGATACCGCAACGAGATCTAGTGTAGCAAACCGAAGTGCAGTTTCCGAACGGATGGACCTGCTCAGACCGGTAACCATATATGCTTCCGGTTCGGTGCACTTGTCGTAGGCTGGCTCCCTTGACTACCCACAGAATGGCTTCAACCCCGGTCAAAAGCTTTTGTAAGCTAGAGAACTGCGATGGCGAAAGGGTGGCCAGGAGAGGACGAAGCAACTCATTTAGGAAGATGCAAGTCTTTCCTTTTGCATCCACTGTGTCAAGCTTACCGACTTCAGGTAATCTGCCCATGGCTTGCTCAAGTGCGTTCGCCAACCTCAGAGCGACAAGCAACTGAAAGTTTGAATCCTTGTGAATGATCACAATTTGGGCACCGACAGGGAGCTGGTTTCTCATATGTTCAGGCTCCAAGATGTGTTCCCATTCAAGTTTGTAGCAGAGGTCACGGGGAGGGTTGTTTTTCTCTCGAGTATCATCGTTCAGCACAGGAGAGACTGTCAAGCCATCAATTGCAATTATGCTCTCCAGAGAACCCGCGGGGGCCGCAACCATGTGAACCTTGAACGGCCGATGAATGCCAGGATAGACCTCGCCCTTGCAAATGGCGCGCAGCGTATTTCCTGGCTCGCTTGCCAGCTGGGTTATCCTTCGAGATATGGTCACGTACTCAATCGCGGACGGTAGGTAAATCGTGTCAACTTGCCGGCGTCCGGCCCCAAGTACCGGCCAGTACATGCCAATGAGCGACTCGAGAAATGCGGGCTGTATCACGGCTTCGGTCAGGTACCCACCCGGCATCTCTTTGGCGACATCTGGAGCAACAAGATCTCCGGTTGACTGTGTATCGCACACGTTGATATTGTCGAGACCTTGAAAGGTAGGCCCGTACACAACCCCAAGCTTGTTGAGGGTCTCGTACATATGCTGGGGATCGATCGAGACCCATTGTGCGTTGTCGATGGTGGGGGCGACAGAATGTAGGTGGTCTTCAAAGCCATCATCAGTCTGTGGGCCCTGTACCACATCATTGTCTGTAATTTTCAACGTTGCGATCGAACCGACGCAATGTTCTGTCCAACCTTGGCCAGAAGACCATGAGCAAACCCTGAACTCGTCCCACGTCTCGGATGAAGAAAAGATACCCTCCTGGTGCGGACGGAGACTGATTGTAACCTCGATGTCGTTGTCTGGTATCGCTAGGGGCTTTTTCATGGCAATATCTCTCATCTGAAACCTATCGAATGAGCAGTGTTTGCTTCTTGCCCTCTGGGAGGCGGCCTCCATAGCCATCGCAAGAAATGCGGACATGGGATACATGATCAAGGATTGAATTTTGTGATGGCGCAGCCAGGGTAGGTCGTCCAGGCGAACGATGTTGCGCCATGTGGGCTCTAAATCGCTCGAGTAGCTGGCCAAGGTACCGATAATGTCGCTTCTTGAACCAACCGCGTTCTTATGCATATCTGTCATACGAGATTCTTGCCAATACCTGGTTGACTGGTTCCAGGGATACTGTGGTAAATCTGTCAGCAGCGTTGGTGGTTTGGTTGTCTTTGGGAAATTGACGGCACCAAAATCAAGGTCTGCCCCTCTGGTGAACAACTGTGCGGCAAATTCCAGAGCGGTCTCGACGGCGTTTCGTTTTCTAACAAGAACAGAAGCATATAGAATTTTTGGTGCACTTCCACCGACCTCTTTGAGTACCTGCTTTATAGGTCCTTGAAGCCCGGAATAGGGGCCGAGCTCGACAAGCATGTTGACCCCGTGCTTATGCTCGCCGACCGGCGCAAGCATGCTCTGCAACGCCTCACTGAAACGTACAGGACAAGTCAAGTTGTCAACCCAGTAGTTAGGCTGCAAATCGGTACTGTCAACAGGATGGCCATACAGAGAAGAGTGAAACTGCACGTCAGTTCGAGCTGGCGGCTGAAGGTTGGCGATGGAAGCACGGTAATCCTTGGCGACCAAGTTCATGTGGTGGGAATGGTAAGCGACGTCGACGACCAGACGCCTGTTGAACAGCTGCCTCTTCTCGCAAATACTCTCCAATTCGGCCAAGGCAGGTTCATCGCCGGAAATAGCTAAACTGGAAGGACTGTTGTAGCAAGCAATCCGGACTTCCTTCGCTTGTAGTCCTTCGATAAGGGTTGTGAATTCCTTCTTACTTCCTCCAACCGCCATCATGCGATCCTGAAGCTCAGGGTACTTCATTTTGAGGATAGGAATCAGTCTACCTCGATGATAGGCAATTGCCATGGCAGATTCAAAGTCAATGATGCCCGCAGCATATGCAGCAGCGATCTCACCACTCGAGTGGCCTGCAACAGCAGTTGGCCGCAGGCCCCAGCCTCGTAGCAAGTTTACAAGTGCTAGTTGTACCGCAGTACATGATGGTTGGCTAATGTGTGCCTCACTGATCCTGCTGGTTTTGGCATCTCTTCCGAGTTCCTCTGCCAGGGTATTGATTGAGTTAGTGATATCCTGCCATATATCTTTTGGGGACCTTGTGTTGGCGACCCATGCTTACCAACAAGTGACCATTCCGCTCCGAAAGCGATTAAATAGGCATCGGCCTGCAAAATACTCGCACTGAACGTTGTATATTGCTCGTACAATTCCCGACCCATCGCATACCATTGAGCACCCTGACCGGTAAAAATAAAACCAAGTCTAAGAGGCTCGGTTGCTTTACCGGTTATCGCCTTTTCTCCATTGATAGCTTCGATTAACTCAAATGAGTTGATAGCGGGAATGGCAGCTCCCCATTGCAGGAGGGACCACCGCTGAACAAGCGTGTAAGCCAGGTTGCTGGTTAGATCTACTTGGAAGATCTCAGGCCTCTGCTCAAGGTAGACCACGATATTCTTCATCTGTTGCGAAAGGGCTGCCTTGTCATGAGCCGTGGCGACGTAAAGCTTGCGGCCCAGCCCTGACTTATCCGAAGCCATGAGGGTGTCATCATGGGAGGACCCCGAAGTTCCGGAACGCAGGAATGGTGCGGCTGTCAGTACAACATGGCCATTTGTGCCACCAAAACCAAAATTATTGACACTGATGTACTTTTTGCCGCGCGGCCACGGCCTTTGGGTCACCGGGACCTCTAAATTCCATTCTTTCCAGGGGATCCTCGGGTTTGGCTGCTTGAAATCATGGTTTGGAAGGATGAAGCCACGCTCAAGCATAAGGGCTGCTTTAATGACACCGGCAATACCTGGAGACGGAGAAGTAGGAACAAATTAGTATTGAATAGGGCAGCCAATGTTTAAGGGTAGCGTAGTAATGACATACCGGAGGCCCCTTCCAGATGGCCAATGTTGGATTTCACAGAGCCGATCCATAGAGGGTTGCGTGGGCTTCTTTCTTGGCCCAAAACATTGTGAATGGCAGTGGCTTCGATGGGATCACCAACCCTAGTGCCAGTTCCATGGGCCTCGACGAAGCCGCACAAATTCGGGTCGAGGCCAGCCCTGCCATATACTTTGCGTATGAGGTCCTCTTCAGATCGATAATGGGGGGTCAGTTTCTCATCCAAGTCGGATCGATTATCGTGGCTCTGGGTGCTGACTGACCTTGCGCTGGCCCATGTGGCACAGTGATGCCGGGCGTCTTGCCATCTTGGTTGAGACCAGTTGCGGCAATGACTGCCCTGATGGAATCCTTGTCCTTTATGGCTTGGTCCAGTGGCTTCAGGACAATCATGCCACAGCCCTCTCCACGGCCAAACCCCGTGCCTCGATTGTCAAAAGAAAATGAACGGCCGGCATCCGAGAGCAGTCCGTGACCGTGATGGTCAGAACATTGGAACGATCAGATGCAACCGATAAGGCGACACTACGATAGCAGGGGAAGCCTTGCTGGTTGTATTAGACTTACCTGCAAGTCGAAAAGGAGATCCAGAACTCGGGAAGCATGTTGAGGTGACAGCCGCCGACCAAAGCGGCGCTAGAGTCACCGGTTCGCAAGCTCTGGCAAGCCAGGTGTATGGCTACCATGCTAGAGGAGCATGCTGTATCGGCCGTGAAACTGGGGCCTCGTAGGTCGAAGAAGTGCGATATGCGGTTGGACTGCATGGCATATGCACAACCTTTTCAAGCTAATGTACAAAGCAGAGTGTCAGCCTTGCAAGGTCGTTGACGTCGCTACCAGGTGTAGTTTCGATGGAGGAGACTAAAGAGACTTACCGGTTGCCTGGTGCATAGGTATGGTATCTGGGTCTCTGAAGAGATGAGATTCGTACTCGGGAAAGGAACCGCCGACAAAAACGCCAACGTCCTTTCCGGCAATGGTATGCTTTGGTATGCCAGCATTTTCGAGGGCTTCAAAGGTGCATTCGAGAAGAAGACGCTGCTGGGGATCCATGGAAATGGCCTCCTTTTCAGTCAAACCAAAGAATGGTGCATCAAAGGCAGCCAGGTCGACATTCAAGAAGTTGCCGCCGACGGGATTCAGAGTGCCGCCTTTGCCCTGGTTGGGATGATGGAAGCGGGCACTGTTGAATCTCTGCTTAGGAGTTTCGGACCAGCCAGACCGGGCCCTAGTGCAGAGCTCCCAGAATTCGGCCGGAGTAGAGACATTGCCAGGCATCCGACAGGCCATCCCAACAATGGCTATGGGCATATTTTGAACATGGCCGGGGGGAGGGAGAGGGGAACTCAAGCCGATCCCAGGTTCGGCAGTCCAGCTGCCATGGTCATTCCCTACGGCTGCCGAGAGGGCGTATTCGCCATGATCATGGCCGTTGTTGCTGATGTTGTTATGGCTGTCACCATTACGCACGTGAAAGTAACTGTTCCAGCTGTCGCCAGAAGGACTGGCGGTTGAGCTATCCGGCGTCACAGCAATGGGCGCCATTGGAGGTCAAGGAAGTCGGATTAGCTTGTTTCTTTGTCAGGACTTTCGGTTGTCTGAAGAGGGCAGAAGCTTGTCTGTTGAATCGTGCTTACAGGAGGGCAATACGATGGCCAGAAGTGAGCAAGACAACAGAGCGGATGAATTGGACTCTTATCTGACGACAGCTGGAGAGACTGAAGCATACAGGATGAACGTGGATGGCAAGGACGCGGGTGGTGCGAGGTTGGCTATGGACCGCAGGCCCGATTTGGCAGGAAGTCAATATGCGAGACTAGATTAATTCCCCGGTGACCCTCCTGGGGAGAAGAACGGAGGCTGTCGACCGAGTCCCAAACCTGAAGTCTCCGGAGAAGCAGGCTGCTGCGCGGGGGCGGGGGGGGGGGGGGGGGGGGGGGGCTGCGATGGGACGGCCATGGGCGAAGGGAGCTTTGAACAGGCCAGGCTGGGTGCCAGGGAGACGAAAGCCGATCCAGCTTGCGGTTCACTTGATCAAAGTCAAAGTGCATTTGCATCTCCATCCCACATCGTCCAGACTCCAGCGCCGGCAAGATGACATTCCCAGGCTCGTGTGTGGCGGCTAATCTCGCAGTATGTCTGTCGTCTGTGCGAGAGTGTGTGGAATGACAGCCCATCACAGGCAAGGTAGTCAAAGTGATTTGTCTGGCGAGAGGTTGGATCGATGAGGCCGGCAGGGTAGGCAGCGGAGGGACGGTGGGGTGGGGGTAACATGGCATCTTGGAGGGCGGCAGCAAATTGGCATATGATGCCACAGCAATCCATGATATCAATGCGACTTTTTTTTCTCTTTCTTCTTTTTTTCCCCTCCCTCTCGATTTCCTGCGCCCGAGGAAGGCAATATGCGAACTGTAGTACAGCAAGTACACTTGTAGACCGGGTCAAGTCACATTACTTAAAGCGGAAGGCATCGATGTCGTCGGGTTCATAAAGCCTCTTATCGATAGTAATGTTGACCGCGCCCTGTGATTGGTGGCTTGATCGGTCGATACAGTCGGTGCCGGAAAAAAACGCCCAACTCAAAATTTCCCCGCAAAAAAAGCCAAAAGTTATCATCGCCACTCTTTGATTCAACCACCATACATTATTCTAAACATTGATAGGAGTTTCTTTGAGACTCTTTTTTACTTTCTCTTACTAGATGTAAGCTAGCCAGATATTTTTGCCTCAAAATGGTAGTGAACGAGGGGTGTAAAATAAAGTGCAAAGTAGTAAATTTATTACAGGGGGTTTACAGGGGCTTATAGTAGGCAAAAATTGACAAATTTTTCGAGTACTGACTTTGACCCCTTCTTTCTCGAGCATTTATACAAGAAAAGCGATATAGAAAGGTTAGTGTAGAAGGTAGTGTAAAGTAATTAGTACCATATAATTTCGGGATTACTATACTTCTATAGGAGTTGCTTTTTAGTAACGTGAATTGTACGAGTTTTGCGGTAAAATGACTAGTTGGGCGTTTTTTTCCGGCACCCACTGTAGCAGGTACTTGTCACGGCATTAATTGGGTTCACGGTACCTGAAACGAAGAGCAGACACGGCACTTGCCGCGCACAAGTGCTAAGAGTCAGGCTCGAGTCAAGGTAGTCGATACCTCTAATCGATCTTGTCCCCCCCCCCCCCCCGGCTCTGAGCAATAATCAACCAAACCAACTTCCGTTAAGTTACCTACATATCACTAACACGGTTTCTATCCATCCAACTAACAAGACCTCATCACCTTCTGTTGAACAATCATCTACTCTGCAGCTCTCGCCAAAGAGCTTTCCCTCCGCCCCCCTAATGAAGTTTCATCAAGCTCAATCAATCTTTCAAGGCACCCCCCAACCTAAGGGCAATTTTTCACCCGATGCCCGATAACAGTATTATCCTAACCAACCACGGCATATAACAACATCCTTCCAGCCGTCCACCCACATCGCGGCGATGCGGCTTTCATGTCCCCGCCGGCTCTAGAATCTGGAAAACCTAGTCGGTCAAAAGGTCAAGGCCATCGGAACTTGGTGCCGGATATTTCCTGGGTGCTCAACCACAACGGCCATCTATCATACTTCTCTATATACCTACACGAGCAAGGATTCTCAAAAAGTCCGGTTAGGGTGTTAGTGATTTTCGCGGGCGGATCCACGGAAAATCATGTTCGCACTATCTACAGCATAACGCACGGACTGAAAACCCCCTTTTTACCCGCAAGAGAATTGTTAGTACTATCTGAATTTCGCACTTTTTCTATTAGTACATTCCCGTACAACCATTTTTTCGCGCTTTCGTATACTTTTCGTGTAAATACTCCTAAGGGGGGGTCCCGGGGGGCGCAGCCCCCTGGTATTAACTTCTAAAGTATACGAATTATGGAGAAAGAAACGGCCAGCCTAAAATCCAACTATATAGAGGTACTAGCGGGTTATAGCCCAAAATCCAGCTCTGCACGTAACAACCCAGAATCCAGCTCTACCATATATGCAACAACCCAGAATCCAGCCTTGCACCCATACGGAAGGGCGCGGCGTACCGCCCCGAACACTAGTCCTCTACTATGGCGCCTAGCTGGGGATGCCCATGAGATCATACATGAGGACGGGACATACTCTGACCACGTAGATATATGTCATATGTCCTGGTTCCTATCATATGTACACGTCTTGGTCCAGACCGAGACCCAGGTGTGGTCCATCTGATGCCCCCTCACCTTGACGCCTCCCCCCTCTCCATCCCAGGGCCTTTTATAGTCTTTTGATCTGCGTTATCGATTTCTATGCTCATTGCGACGAGAAGAAAGCCACCTACTTGTCGCAATGCAGTTTCTCTGTCTTCCGGGAGCCTATGGCAGCTCCGATGTAAGTACAAGGCACGCTTTCTTTGGTGGACCGCCTTGCTGACCGGACATAACCCATGTCAGAAATTCCAGGTTCAGCTAGGTAAGAAGGGCGTCAAATAGAGAGAAGCCTTCTATACAAGGATATCCAGTCTAACAACACCTCAACCTAGCACCTATCGTCAAGGAGTTGACTGAAGATGGAACGGCTACCTTCCACTTCATCCACGGCCCGTGCAAAGCCGTGCCGCCCGAGGGCTGCGAGGCGTACTTTGGAAAGCCGCCCTATTACCGCTTTATCGAGCCCGACCGGGATGTGGAAAAGACCCAAGACGATGACGTCCTGGCCAGAATCAGGGACTTTCCCGACTGTGAGAGTCCCGAGGACACCATGCGAGAGCTGATGAGCGAGGGCGTCGCCACCTCACATCGCAGTACCGACAATGCACTCAAACATCTGATCAAAATCATGGACGAGCGCGGCCCATTTGATGCCATCATTGGCTATTCGGAAGGCGCCACTGTTGCTGCCACGCTTCTGCTTCACGAGCAGAGGCGCTTCAAGAAGAAGGGTATCAAGCCCATGTTCAAGTACGCCATCTTTTTCGCTGGCTGGCCCCCCGTCGACCCTGACACCCACCACATGATTCTGAGCGACGAATCCGACGTCGTGATTGAAATTCCTACATGTCATATTAGTGAGTAAAAGTGCCCATCAGAATGCCATCCATAAATACGTGGCTGACAGCGTCTGCACTCTAGTCGGCTCCTTGGACCCTTATGTCCATGGATCTTTGGCCCTTTACAATGTGTGCGATCCCGCTACTGCCTATCTCTTCGATCACGCCAAGGGCCACACGCTACCGCGGGACAAGGAAACTGTAAAGGAACTGGCTAATGTGGTACGGGAGGCTGCCTGCCTCTATGGAATCCATGCCGAGTAGCGTCTGTTAAAGGACAGCCGTTTGCGCAGAAACAGTAAACGGATAAATGTCGAATTGGTAATACAAAGACACCTTAACCGAAGCCTCAAGCGAACCAAGTGAATGGCCAACATGGATCAATATCAGGTGCCATAAAGGATTGGGCAACCAGCCAAGCCTGGCGAAGCGAGGCATCATGTAGCAGCATACCGGGAGTGGCTCTCGGTCACGGCACAGTTTCGGGAGCTGTCCATGTTCCCCAAGGTACTTTGAATGCAAAGGACCGAACCATGACTTGACGACGGCATTGGGACGCCCACTTTGCAGTTACATGACAAGGGAGAATGCAGCTTGATCGATTATTTGGATCGTCTCGGCACTACATGGTGACAGCTATGGCTGTGCAAGAAATCCAACGGCTGACTCTATGTTGGCGACCAACCAGGAGGTAGGCGGTAGGGGTTCAAAGACCAATGACTGCACCAAGCAGTGAAATCAAATGGAGAAAAAGCGAGATAAGAATCTAAACAGTATCGGAGTGGGAACAGAGACTCAAAGTTCCCTTTCGAGATAACCTTCCTGTGCCAGTATACAACCGGACGAAAGGGCCTAGGGCCCAAGCTACCCTGGCCACCTCATCTATCGATGGACAAAGGAATGGAATCGCAATTCTATAGGCCAATTGAGGCTAAATTGCCCTACGGAGAGCAGTTTGCGGCACATGCTTGCTTGATATCAGTCAAGATGCTATGAGACGGGAAAATGATACGGCAAGACTAAGGTACCCGTCGCCGTGGAAGCGACTGTCCCATCGAATTTTGAACCAGTCACTGTTTTACTCATGCTGTCGCGACATCGCCACAGCTCGACTGTAGCGTTGCCGGTCCATCATCCGAGACCGATGCAACTCTCCGGGGTACCCAGATATGTTGCAAGCTGGGTATCAAAGTACCTCCATTCCCAACCCGCTCTTTCTTTCTTTCTTTCTTTTTTCCTAATTTTTCTTCGTATCCCGCGCATGAGACCTTATAGATACGCCGCCAACTATAGAGGGTCGGGATCTGGATCCATGTTCAACGAGGTTTTGGATCTCTCGGGACTCTGGGTGTGCCCATTTCCGTATACCACTCCATAGCCTGGCCGGGGCTCGCAATATGTACTTCAGCCAGGTTGATTCTCTTCTCCGTTGCCGTCGAGAAGTAGAGAACTTGGCCGCAAATCACATCGTACCACTTGTCAATAAGCGCGGATACCATTCGCGTCTTGGTTCAGATCCCTATTCGAGTACCAAGCACGAAATATAATACCCGTACATTGTATTGCGAAGTTCCATATTAACGTCGTAGCAGGCTGTTGAAGTACGAACACCGGATCTATGGTAGCCCCACGCTTTGTTCGATGTATATTGTTTACCGCGCCTGTCAAAGGTCGCCTGCGACCCATTGCTGACCGTTCGCAATCTCTTTCGGGCGCACTTCTTTCGAAATGTCGCTGCACAATGGTTGGATTGCAATCGCGTTCAACGGTAAATATGGCTTGAGACAGGCTCTATCCCCTCGCTCTTTGCCTCACATTCACTTTTCATCTCCATTCTTTTAAGGGAACTGCGCGCATGTATTGAGCGCGGAGATATGCGCGTCAATATACCCTTTTGGTTCTGTAACCACTTCTACGAGAGCACCTACACTAGTTGCGTCAATCCTTAGGAGACCTCAATAATTCAAGAGTCAAAGAGATGGCCGAGGAAGAGTTTGCGTCTGGCGGCGAACACCCCATCCCCGAGTCGCTAGTTTCGCCTCCGAATCCACCATCTCCAGCGAGCAAAGCGGGAATGAATCGCCTCCTGCTGAAGCCCGAATGCAAAACAGCTCTCTCAGACTTTATTGTGTGTATCTTGATTCGTAGCTGCTTGAAGACTCAGTTTCTGATACTTTAGCCAGCGCATATTCTCCTTTTCGACATGGCTCGACAGGGTACTTGTCAGCGCAGCTGTTGCGACCTCTATAGGCGCTGGCATTACTATGCCCCTCATGAACATGATTTTTGGTATGTCTCACTTACTTTTTAACTCACAGTCAATAAGCAGGTAGTGATGCCTGCGAATTAACTTATAGATAGGCAGAATGGTGGGATCCTTCACGGGATACTACGGTGCCGATGCTTCAACAACATATGAGCTCTTCAAAAACGCCATAAGTAGCTGCGCGTAAGTTTCGTTCCAACTCTCGGGCAGCAGTGAGTCAACATGATTTTGACTAATGTTTTCACAGCCTGTACCTTGTCGGCCTTTTTTTTTCATTAGGCTTGTACTTGATCATGTTGCCTACGTAAGTGCCTCACCGTTTGTTCCCCTTCTTCTCGCGCAGCACACGCATCGTTTACAGGTTATGTCGAATGTCTAGGTGGGCTTTCGTATGTCGAGCTTGCGAATCTCAGCTGCTATCCGACTGGAATACTTGAAGTGTTTACTCAGGGAGCCAATCTCCACGCTAGACGTCCTCCCCCCCGGCCAAACTGCCGCCATCATCACTATAACAGCTAGTGTACTTCAAGCGGGCATCTCCGAGAAACTTTCAGCCTTTCTTCAATCCATATCAACTGTAACAGCTGCATTTGTGATTGCCATCACATACAGTTGGAGCTTGACCTTGGTCACGAGCAGTGGTCTTGTGTTGATCATAGTGGTCTATGCTGCAACTACCCCTTTTCTCGTCAAGCACATGAATGGCGTACAATATGCTGATCTCCAGGCATCTATAGTTGCAAACGAGGTATTCAGCTCCATAAGAATGATTGCAGCCTGTGGTGCACAGGAGAAGATGGCTAAAAGGTATGTCAAATGGGTGGACGATTCTCGTCATCGGGGGTTGAAAATGTCTCCCACGCGCTGCAGCAAGCGCCAGGTAAGTGCCCGTTTTCATTCTTTTTTTTAGGCTGACCCTCCACATATGTACCGTCAAGCGGCTCCTCTTGAATCTTCTGACGTCTCTCCAACAGTACAGTTTTCGATATACGCGTGAGTTACATGCCGCCCTTGTTGTCATAACAAAAAACCAGAGTCACTGCTAACACTTTCCAGAACTTTCGCCCTTTCAATCTGGTACTCGATTAGAATGTACTACGAGCTTCGCTTTAACAGCGCAGAGACCTTGGTTGTGTGCGTAACTACGATACTCCCCGCCATGTTCACTGCCAAATACCGGACAAATCGACTGATTGGTCTGGCATCAAGTGTCCTGATGTCTATCGTGCTCATGACCACCTCTATAGGTGGAATTACCTCGCCCTTATCCGCAGCTATTCGGGCAGCTGGCGCGGCCACTGTTTTCTATACTATCATTGACGCAACAAGACCCGACAAAACAGGTCTTAAGGAGCCAGACGTTTCTGCATCCCAAGATATTGTACTTCAAGACGTGAACTTCGCATATCCCACCAGAACAGACCTGGTGATCCTGAATAACCTCAGTATCCGCTTCCCTATGGGGAAAACCACCGCAGTTGTTGGACCTTCCGGATCTGGCAAAACCACAATTGTTGGGCTTCTGATGCGATGGTATGAAATTGAGTCTCTCGAGAGCAATGATATGGTAGGTGGCCTCAGAATACGTCGCTCTTGACTTGAGAATGGAAGCCACATCATTTTGCTAACAAGCAGGCAAAAACGAAGAGTTTGTTATGGCGTAACGGCCTTGTCGAAGTCGGGGGTCGGCCCCTGAGAGAGATCGATCTCAAGTGGTGGCGGACTCAAATCGGCCTCGTGCAGCAGGAACCGTTTCTGTTCAACTGTAGCATTTATCAAAATGTTGAGTTTGGTCTGATAGGCACTGAATGGGAAGATGCCAATCTGGAGACCAAGGATGAGCTTGTAAAACAGGCTTGCAGGGAGGCCCTTGTCGACGAGTTCATCAACCGGTTACCAGAGGTAAAGTTCCAAGTTCGAAGTCATCCAGGAAAGAAAGACTCTTGGTGTGTAGGTTGATTGCTGACAGCTGAATACAGGGTTGCTCAACCATTGTCGGCGATGCAGGCATCAAATTGAGTGGCGGCCAACGTCAACGAATAGCAATCGCTCGAAGCATGGTAAAGCGCCCGAAAATTCTCATTCTGGACGAGGCGACTTCTTCTATTGACGTTCGTGGGGAACATGTGGTACAGGCAGCCTTGAAAAAGGTGTCGAAGGATCGCACAACTATAATGATTGCACACCGGCTCGGAACCGTTAAGAAGGCTGACAACATCATAATTCTGCAGAAAGGTCAGGCTGTTCAGCAAGGCACGCACTCGGACCTCTTAGCCGAGGAGGGAGGAGCATATTGGGCACTTGCTACCTTGCAGAAGCTTGTGGTAGATTCAACCCACCCCAAAGAGCTACCGAGCGGCCTTGGTGGTGAGGTGGAGGATACGGAAGTTAACACACCAACAGTCAATTCAGGGAGTCCGGTAATAACAACAGACGCCAGTGTTGATGAGGAACTCATTACGACAAGCCGCCTGAGAAAATACACGCTCCTCATCTGCGAGCAGAAAGATCACTGGAAGTGGTATGCTGTCTTGGTTGGGAGTGCAATCGGCGGCGGAGGTATGTAACCGTATCGATCGTACAGAAATAATGAGAGAGTAGACTTATCTGACAATCTTGTTCGGGCCTCATAGCAAGTCAGCCAATTTCTGCCTACCTCTTTGCAACAGAGCTCACACTGTTCCAATCCTGGGATCCATGGCTCCCAAGCCTTTCCAGCTTCTGGAGTTTGATGTTTGTCACGCTTGCTATCTTAGTTGCGATCTCTTACTATGTATTAGGATGGTCGTCTTCGACAATTGCGTTTGTACGCTTCTTGAATCTACTCCCTTTCTTCACATCAAACGAGGACGGAACTATGCTAACACGAGGAACGAGCACATCACACACCGATATCGTTGCGAGTACTTCGACAACATCATATCCCAGTCTATTGGCTTCTTCGACACTGACGACCACTCGGTTGGTACACTTACAGCTCGTCTGGCGACTGATCCAAGCCAACTTCAAGAAATACTGGGCATCAATATGGCTTTCGTGCTCATTTCCATTCTCAACGTCGCTGGCTGCTTGATTATATCCTTCTACTATGGATGGAAACTGACCATCGTCACGCTATGCTCCTCGATGCCACTCATTGTGGCAGCTTCTTTTCTTCGCATTCGACACGAAGCACGATTTGAGAAAATGAACAATGAGTTTTTGCAGAGAGTGCCAAGTTCGCAACTGAGTCCAATAATGCCTTGAGAACGGTTTCGGCTCTGACTCTAGAAGATACCATCATAGAGCGATATGAAACACTGCTCCGAGAACATGTCCAGCATTCATTTGGAAAGTCTAGTTGGTTTACCTTGGTATTTGCCGTGGCCGACAGCATCGCGCTTTTGTGCACGGCTTTTGTTCTGTGGTAAGTTTGTTCGCAAGCACTCACCTACATATCAAGGCCGATCGCCGACGACGGTTTCGCGAATATCAACAAAGCTAACTGGGGACCCGATGCCTCACAGGTATGGTGGATCTCTGATGCTCAAGGGCGAATACTGGTCATTTCAGTACATGATCGTTTACATTGCTGTCCTCCAGGTATGCTTACATTGCGCTTACCCCGCGTCTCCAATGAGGCCTTTCATATTCGGCCAATCTTCTGATGATGACTCTGCGGGACAGGGTGGATTGGGTGCAGGTCAATGGCTGAGCTTTGGACCTAGTAGGTTAGCAGTACGAGTTAGGATATTTGACATGTACTAAGCGCACCACAGATATTGCAAAAGCGAATGTTGCGGTAGATAGGATTCTCGAGATGAGGGCCAAGGGCCAGGAAAACACAACGCGCACTCTACTTGACCGAGGCAGCGTGGGCGACAAAGACAGCGGTGTTAGAGTTGAGTTCCGCGATGTACGGTTCAGGTATCCAACCCGGAATGTACCGGTGCTTAATGGGCTTGACATAACGGTTAGTCCTGCCACATTACAGTCAAATTGATGCAGCACTGCTAACACCAGCCAAGGTTGAGAAAAACATGTTTGCTGCTATAGTCGGGCCTTCTGGTTCGTGGAAATTTGATTAGAACGGGTAGGTACCTAGTTAGGTATAGGCCGACAACTGACATCAACTAGGTTGCGGGAAAACAACAGTGGTCTCACTTCTTGAAAGGTCAGTGGTCAAGGTATCTAGGTATTGAGGAGCACAAGCAGGGCACGGTACCCAGACAGCTGACAAATGTTCAGGTTTTATGCCGTAAATTCAGGCCAGATCCTGTACAACGGAACCGACATCTCGACCGTCTCCCTCGAAGACTATCGCAGGGATATATCTCTTGTCTCGCAAGAACCGAATCTTTTCAATGGGAAAATCAGAGAGAACATACTACTGGGAGTAAACCCTGATAGTACCACAGAGGAGCAGATTCAACAGGCTTGTCGTGACGCCGAGATCCACGAGTTTATCTTGTCTCTCCCAGACGGATACAATACCGAGATCGGATCCAGGGGAGTGACACTGTCTGGGGGGCAGAAGCAACGCTTTGCAATTACAAGGGCCTTGATACGGAATCCTCGCTTGCTACTCTTGGACGAAGCCACATCCAATCTGGACGGCGATACAGAACGGGCAGTACAGGACCAGGAAGAACAGAACAATGATCATGGTAGCTCACCGTCTTGCTACTATCCAGAACGCTGATATCATTTTTGTTCTTGGAGATGGCCGCGTGTTGGAAAAAGGAAACCATGCGGCACTGTTGAGGATGCGGGGAATCTATTACCAGATGGTAGGTGGTCCTTGCAAGCCCGCTCTTGACAACTTTGCGACTCTTGTGTGGCATATATGAGATGCTGACATGATACAGTGTCAGGCTCAAGCGCTGGATGGGTAGGTAAAGTTAGCCGAGAGGGTGTTGTGGACATGGGAAGTGTCTCTGAGGTATATAGTCCTGCGGTATATCGTAGCGATATCGCCTATTACTACCTACCTACATATGTGTTTTTGCGCAATGGGGGGGCTTGTAGAAGCATTACACTACAGAGGACTTTACTACCTTGGATGCTTGGCGGTCAAACAGGAATAAGGTACTTGGCGTTTTGCGATCTTGGCGAGTCTCTCCGGTACGCACAGCTGCCAAGGAAATGAAGTTCTATTTAAATCCACACTGGGCAACCCGTGAGCTGCACGACATTGAGGACGGCTAGTATGCTCTTGGTAGCTGTTCTTTCCGAAAACAAGGTACCTACCTACTCTTTCTTTGGTTATCTTGTGAGTTGGGGGCTTTTCCTTTGACTGCTGTACACTTTTGCCGACATACCTATAGTTTAGCTAGGTTGTTAGCGTGGAACCGCTCCTTACAACATTACTTGGCTACAAGTAGGGAGTTGGAGGTTGAGGGGGAGGGGAGCAGCGAGAGCAGCCATCGATGTTTTGTAGGGAAAATAAAGTTATCGCCACATAGGGTAGGTAGGTTGCACTTCACTGCGCTAACCTTTTAAGTTCCGTTTGCAACGGCCCGCCCCCACTACACCCCAAACGAACCGGTTCCTGCAGCCACCATGAATGGTACCTTACCTACACAGTACATACACTACGCACATACCAAACAACCTAGCTTAGTGCGATTGGCCAATGACACCACCCTCTTCTTGCCAAACATCAACAGATGCGCATCGAACCAGCATCCAAGAATCCGCAACCTGATTGCTGGCAGAACTCCGTCGGCAACTGCCCTTCGCGACGGTCGCGATTGATCGTCTTGCCTGATCGACGGGCCTATCGACCTGCCGCTATTCGCCAATCGGCCGCCCCAAGTTAACCGCATCCAGTCAATGGGACTGGCGGGAGCCCCATTCCGATCGTCATCGGTGCCGGGTGACTAGTGTATCAAGTATGGAGCAAAACACCCGGACGCCTTTCCTGGCTGTCACCCTGTTCCTGACCTTGGCTCACACCTCTGCCGGCATGGAAAAGGTTAGCCAACTGAGACTAATGAACACTTGGGCCACTGCAGAGTCAAGATATCTCGAACTTTTGGACCTGATCCGATCCAGCTCGAAGAATGAAGCCGCTATATCATCGCCCTTTTCCCCCTGGCAATCAACATGCCTTCTCACGCTTGTGCTTGTTGTTCAAGAAGGACGGCCCATGCTTGTTACGAAGCTGGACGGAAGCTCGAGGCAAACTTGATGATCAAGGCCCGTCGTCAAGGCCACCGACAAAGTCATTTATTTGTCCACAAGTTCTACCATCAGCCAAAGTTTTATCCACCAAGACTCGTCTTCACTTGCTCTCTTTCTCCCTGTACGGGCTCATTTCTCCAGCCTTCTGCAAAGGAAACCCAAGTTTACCGACACTTGGGGCAGCTCTCATTGCCTAGGCTCCAAAGACATAGCCATGGCGGGCCATACACTCTCTAGCCTCCTTCTCGGCATCATTGCCATCTGTCTTTGGGCTGGCCATATGCCCGGAGCACAAGCTGTTCCGGTACCTGTCACGAACTCCCTCGACCCGAGGCAATCAGCCACCGACAAGCTGGTGTTTGCGCATTTCATGGTAAGACTCACTAGCTAGACTATCATCTTCTTCCTCCATGTACTTGTCATCGCGCTGACGAGGCTTCCATCAGATTGGTATTGTGGGCAACCGCGGATCCTCGGCCGACTACGATTATGATATGCAAAAGGCCAAGGCCATAGGTAAGATTACTCCATCGCATCAACAAATTTTCCGGGGCTGCTGTGCCAAAAAGCTAACGAATCTCATAATAGGCATCGATGCATTTGCGCTCAACATTGGAGTTGATGGCTACACTGACACTCAGCTGGGATTTGCCTACGAGTCGGCGGCTCGCAACGGCATGAAAGTTTTCATCTCGTTTGACTTCAACTGGTGGCACCCGAGCACTCAAGCTACCGACGTAGGGCGCAAGATTGCTCAGTACGCCTCGCTTCCTGCACAGCTGAAGATCGACGGAAAGGTCTTTGCCTCGAGCTTCATTGGGGACGGCCTTGATGTGGCCCAAATGAAGGCAGCAGCCGGGGTCGACGTCTTCCGGGCGCCCAACTTCAACCCTTCCCAGACCCCAAACAACGGGGTCGTCGACTCGGCATTCAATTGGATGGCTTGGCCAAACAACGGGGCCAACAAAGCCCCCCAGCCTGGACATAGCTTCTCCGTGGCTGATGGGGACAACGCCTACAAAGCATGGCTGGGTTCCAAGCCATATATGGCCCCAATCTCCCCCTGGTTCTCTACCCACTTTGGCCCCGAAGTTAGCTACAGCAAGAACTGGGTGTTCCCAGGAGATCTTCTCTGGTATAGCCGCTGGAATGAGATTCTGACGCTGGGCCCCCGCTACGTCGAGATCATAAGCTGGAATGACTATGGGGAGTCTCACTACATTGGCCCCCTCGACTCGAAGCACACCGATGATGGAAACTCCAAATGGGTCAATGACATGCCGCACGAAGGATGGATGGAACTGGCAAAGCCGTTCATTGCGGCGTACAAGGCAGGTGCCAGCAAGCCTGATGCCTACATCAGCCAAGATCAAATCATTTACTGGTATCGACCGACCCTCAAGTCTTTGAATTGCGATGCGACCGATACTACCATGCAGGATGCCAACAACAGCAGCGGGAACTATTTCAAGGGAAGGCCCAATGGCTACGAGACCATGGAAGATGCTGTGTTTGTCGTCTCTCTCTTGAAGACCGCCGGGCAGATCAAGGTGACGTCTGGTGGTAATTCCGCCGTCACCTACCGAGCCCCTGCGGGTGCGTATGCACAAAAGATACCGATGGGCGTTGGGAAACAAAGGTTCGAGCTCGTCCGTAATGGACAGTCTGTTCTAAGCGGCACCTCCCCGAGAGATATTAGCAACACATGCCCGTGTGGTATCTACAATTTCAATGCATTCGTCGGTCAGCTGCCTTTTAAGCCATTTGGCTCATTAGATTCGCAAGGCCTAGCTTCTCTAACCGTTGGACTACATGTGAGCACTTGCCAGCCGACTCCTACTCTGATAGGTACTGCGCCTCCACCAAACGATCCTCAGCCTACATACCCTCCGGCTATGTGGGAACCCCCGTCTATTCCCCGGACGATCTCGACTCAACCCATCACTACAGCACCTCCTCCCTCTACCCCAACCAGCTGCAACCGCGACACGGTTGCTGACGAGGAGTCTCCAAACCTGACCGGCCTTTGCAACTTTTTATGCTTCAAGGGCTGGTGCCCACCTGGACCCTGCAAATGTAATTCATTCGGTACGCCTGGATGGAGCGACTCAAACGAAGCCCCCGGGTTACCCGGCTCCAGGTCTCGATAAAAGTTACAAGGGACTTTGCGCCTTTACTTGCGCCAGGGACTATTGCCCTTTAGGTGCCTGCTCGCCAAACTGCGGCTAGCAGTAACGCGTGCTGTTTCAACTTGTTGGAAGCAGCAGCCATACTCTTCTTGTTGTTTTCTTTGTCAGGACTTATGAATGTCTTTTCTTCTTCTTCAAGGCCCGGTTGCCCTCGACGCTCGCTTGGGAGACTAATTATACATAGCTGTAGAGAGGACGTTTGCGCTCTCACACGTGCCGAAGCCACATTTTTTTCGGGCTTTCTTTTCTTTGGAATTTTATTTTATTTTGGCTAGGACCAAAGACAAATACGTGTACTATATCATACAGTAGGTATGAAATCGATTTAATGATAAAATCACCAATTGCTCCAAATTCAGTTGTGATGAGTGGGTGTAGTGCTTCTCCGTAAGAACTGGTCTTGAGTACCTTGACGCTACCCTAGCAGAAAGACGGACTTGAATAAACGACACTAAAGGGCTTACATACCTCCTACAAGACATGCACGAAGCTATGTAGCTAAGGTGCTGACTCAGGTAGGGATTATAACTGCCCTGGATCATCTACCTGCGCTTTTGGGAGGTTAGTAACTGAAACTGAAGCTGTCCACAACCTATACCAAGTTTCCCACATATATTAACACCTCAATTGAGCAGCCTATTGAGTATCGTTTAAAAAAAATTTCACGCCCGGTCAAGATATTGCCATTGTATCGAGACCATGGCCCGACAAAGCTCATACGTGGAATCGCATATGCTTGACTCAAGCTGCCAGCGCCACGGCAAGATCCTGGACTCCTTTTTTGACCTAATGAGCTCTCCGTATGTTGGAGTGGGTGAACAGACCTAGCAATACCACCCCCGTTTTGCGAACCCCTCACATATGGCGTCGTGCAAGACCGTAGATCTTGTCTTAGCAGGCCTCGACACCTTTTCATCGGTCAAACCTTAACGGGCAGATTGTATTACAGTCTGATGACATGGTAATCCAGTACCGAGTCCCTGTTTAACATCTGCTAAAGGGAACGCTGGCGCAAGATGACGTGAACACACTCGACATTCATTTTTGAACCGGCTCGAAAAAGGCGAATTGGAAATCGCCAAGGGTCACCAAGAGCATGACTTCATTGCACAGACTGAAGTCAGCAGAGGATCCGTTCACAAAGCCGACTGTCACTGGGGCTAGGATCGGGGCCCATCCCACTGACTTACGAACCTTGGCCACCTCGAGTGTAGCGAGCCAAGGTTGAAAATCTCAAGATAAAGTATGAGCTGGATTGGGGAACTGAGGAGATGGCGACAGCAGGTCATGTCGTGGTTTCGGCAGATAAATCGAGAGCTACCGAACGTATCCAAGAGTCTATTTAATAATGTTATTACACCCAATCCCTTCCTGATGCCAACATGAGTAAGGTAGTCAGGGTTGGAAGGCAAACTAAGTGTGTCCGTTGATAGCCTTGGGCTTATACATCTCCTCCAAATACTTCTCCTCCTCCTCCGTTAAAACCTTGCCTCTAGCGGAAATTGCTTCTTCCAAACGCTCAACGCTGCTAAAACCAATGATTGGACTGATGACGCGCTTAGCAATCCAAGCCAAGGCTACATGGGAGATCTATAGGTACGGTTAGCAAGATAAACCTCTTCAAAAGATGCGGATATCGATGGGTTTCTCTTGGCTATGAAACTTACCGGCCATTCATGCTTATCCGCAATCTCAACCACGCGGTTGATAATGGTTAGATCGGGCTCAACAGTGCCATGCGACCCAGGCTGGGCCTCCTTCTCTCCTTGACTCCTCTTGGTCCTGCCAAACTGGTCGGGTCTGCGGGCCAAGTGGCCACGGCACAAAGGAGCCCACGGGATCAAGCCAACACCAGTGTCGTTGCAGAAGCGGATCATCTCACGCTCTTCCTCACGATAGAGCAAGTTGTACTGATTCTGCATGCTGATAAACTTGGTCCAGCCGTTCTTCTCGGCGCAGAACTGCATCTGGGCAAATTGAGTAGCCCACATGCTGCTTGCACCGATATAGCGCACCCTGCCGGACTGCACCAAGTCGTGCAAGGCCTTCATGGTCTCTTCAATGGGAGTGTTGGGATCAAAGCGATGAATCTGTAGCAGATCGATGTAGGGCGTATCCAGGCGCCGGAGAGAGGCCTCGACGGCGTTGAAGATGGCGGCCCGCGACAGGCCATGCTGGTTCACGTAGTCCTTGGAGGCGGCAATCTGGGAAGGAAAAAGGAAGGAGCGGAGATCGGGAGTCTCTCCGACAGCACCCCAACACTTGGTTAGGATGACTACCTTTTCGCGCGGAATTGCGTATTTCTTGAGGGCCTTTCCTACAATGATCTCGGATGTGCCGTTGGAGTAAACATTAGCCGTATCCCATGTGTTCAGGCCACGGTCATAGGCGGCCTTGAGTAAAGGGAGAGCCTCATCTTCCTCGATGGCCCAGTCCAGCGTCCGTCGATCACCGAAGCTCATGCAGCCAAAGATGGGCACGGAAACACGGAGACCGCTCTTGCCCAGCCGGCGGTATTCACATTTGGAGTTCTCGACAGACTCGTTGAGGCTGGCGGGTAGTTCGGGCATCTTGTGAGTTGTGACCTGTGTGTGTGTGTGTGTGTGTGTGTGTAGGTTGCTAGACGTCAAGAGATACTCGAAGGCGATGAGGGGAGAGTAGAGTGAAGGAGTGTTAAGGGCTGGATTGGGTTCAAGATGAAGATGAAGATGGAGATCACGGTGGCATCATGAAGAAGGTATTTAATGACGGTAAATGGGTATAATATACTACCAGGCGTAGCTTGGGACTTGCACGAGCTCAAATACCTACCTCTAGTCAAGACCACCAGAGAAGGTGCAAGGTAGGTTACATCCACCGTGAGGGACAGCGTCACTATCCTGTTTGTGCTGGACGGGAGGCAGCACCTACCCCGCACCCAAGGGCAAAAACAGAGTCGTAATGCCCGTGTAGCAGTGCAACTTTCTTTGCAAGTTTCCATGTTAACTCCATGATCGTACCGAGGTGTAACGGCCAGAGGTTACTATAGCGGTGTTTGTCCGAGGCTCAGAGCAGTGACAAGAGGTCGGAGATAAAGTGACCGAGCCCCTAAAGTCCGGATGAGCGTGGTGAGCCAGAGGCTGGATGATCACATAGCGACATCTTCCATTCTAAGATGATCCGGACCGCCCCCAATAAAGAAAAAGAAAAAAAAAAAACACCCCGAAGAGTTGAAAAAAAGGGAATCTATCCCGGGAAAACGGCGTTCTCAGAAAAAATGGAGGTAAAAGTTAAGTATAAAGCTTAGCCCGACGTGGGAATCGAACCCACAGCCTCAAGATTAGAAGTCTTGCGCGCTACCGATTGCGCCAGCCGGGCAGGCATTTTACACTTATTCTCCACGCTCTAACCAATAAATGACAAAACTGCGCTACATCTTTGAATTAGAACCGCACCCAAAACCACCCTACCAGTCATAACCCCACAGCTAGCCACCCCCCTCAACTAGCCACCTCTACACCGCTGTTTCCCCTTATATAATATCACTACCCTGCTTCTCCCAACAACTACAATTAAATCAAATTAAACCCGATCGCGTTTATTTCTATTATAATAAACTTGTTTTTAATTAAATAAATACTTAAAAATATTCGCGACGGACTTTCCCAATATACAATAGCGAAAAAATATAGGATTCCCTAATCTACCCTCGGCAATTGTGTTAAAGGTATCCCGACTAAGCGCGATATTAAGATCCTAGCTTAGAAGCTATTACTAACCTAAGAAACCTTTATTTATAAGTAGATATTAAATAAGGAGAAGGCCGGCTATATTCCCAACCGCCGTTAGGTTACTAGCTTTACTACATCTATACTCAAATGCGGCTATAATTATAATAAATTAAGTACCTATTAAATCAATCAATTCCTAAAACGCAACCCTAATATTAGGACTAAATTTTCCAAGCCGTTCGAATTAACGAAAATTAAAGGGTTTACCTAAGAAACCTTCACAAAGTTCTTCAACCTTCTAGAAGCCTAAATTTATAATAAGAGTATCGTTCCTACTAATATTTCGAATATAAATAAGTATAGTTTTTAAAAATTGGAATTAAAGGATGGTAAAGTGCTTGGGATTGTCTTAATAAAGAAGGTATACTTAATAATAACTAATATAATAGCCTAGGTATTTATTATTAAGTGTAGGACCGCTGTTAGTAAACGGTTAACTCCCGTTATTATCTTTTCTAATTTCAATTTTTAAGGGTAATAATTTCCTAATAATATAGACGATAAGTTTAAGAATTAGAAGTTTGATAGTATATTAACTAAATAGAGTAATTTAGAGATTGTTTTACGGTAGTTGAAGGAGGTTTATTTATTAGAAACGAAGCCGGCCAACGATAATTAACGTTTCTTAATCCTTAATAAATATTCAAATTATTTATTTAATAATTTTATTGTTGAGGTATTTTAATATAACGTTCAATTACTTTTTTTACTTCCCTATACTTTTTATAAAACTTAGCCACTCGATCAATTTATATTTACCGCTATCAAATTATATTTTAGAGATTTAACTAAAGATTATACCTCCTTTCTAATATTAATACTAGTAAATAAACAATAGTTCCTCCATTACTACTAGGAAGCTTCACGATTAAAGGTAAATACTAGAAACTTTAAATTAAAGTTTAAGAAAATTAGAATATAGTTAATAAATAGATCTATTGTCCTTAATAACCCGGATACTATATTTAATAATAATACCTTACCAGCCCAACTATTACTACCTAGAATACTACCAATCGAGCCCATTTTAAAGGACAATATTATTTTTCTTACCCCCTAGAAGTCCAGAAATATACTGGGTGGCATTCACAACTTCTCTTCTATCGACCGTAATATTAAAATTACATTCACGAAGGCAACTAAGGCCCTTAATATTAAGAATACTAAGTTCGCCGCTAAAAATTACCAAATTTAATATTTATAGACCTAATTAGAATTATAAAAGCCTAAGGGTAAAAGGAAGGTTAAAGAAGGGGGTAATGATAGATTTGTAAGGGTAGAAGAGATTATTAGAGTTTGTAATGCCTTAAATGAGGGTCTTAAGCGAAGAAGGGTTGCTATGGCAATGACGACGTCGTTATTACTACAACCTATTAAGAGAGTTGTTGAGTTAATACTGTAGATTATTTATGAGTATTAAGATTAATTAATAAATATTTCAAATAGTTGAAATCGCTGTAAAAATGGCCAATTTTCGATGTTATCTGACTACTGGTTATGTATGTGGATGTGGCCAGTTGAGGGGGGTGGCCAGCTGTGGGGTCATGACTGGTAGCAGTGGGATGAAACGCAAGCTCGGAAAGCATTCCCCAATGCCAAGCCCCTTTCTGCCATCCAAAGGGCCCAAGCTCCCTTCGTCTAACCCTTGGAGCTTCCATTCATGTCTTTAGTGCTTGCGTCCCTCCTTTCGAATTGACATCATCGTCTCCCCACCAGCACTTTGGAACCCGTCGGCCATTTCCGACATCGCGAACCCATTCAACCACAATTCCGCGACTTAACGGAAGCTACAACATTGCAGAGTGCGACGCTTTAAGCAGCGAAACAAGGATCCCATCCCCGATCGATTGAAACTGCGACACCATGCCCCAAGACAACAGCGGCGACTGGGTGTCGCAGGCGCAGATTGAGCCCCATCAGCTCGAGGGTGGTCATGCGGTGCCCTATTGGGACAAGAGCTGGTGGGAAGAGTACCGCCGAGCTAGGAGTATCAGAGAAAGAAACGAAATCATCACCAAGCTCGTCGACCAGATGCCCGTCAAGTGGGACACGCTGCCGCAGCTGCCCTTCTGGGCCCCTCTGTTCAACGTCACCCAAGACCAGTACAAGGTGGACGTGGGCCAGAGACTCATGGCTTCGTCCTTCCTATTGGGTCACCAGCCGCTGGACCGGGAGGATATCGATCTTGTCGCCTACGGCGCCGCCAAGCGATCTGTCACCAATGCGTACGCCCGACCCGCCATAGCCCTCGGCGCAGGCGTCTGCTGGGCTGTTGGATACAACAAGTACAACTTCCCTTTCTGGAAGCCAAAACCGACATCCTTCAACCCCGAAATCTTCCCGAGCCAGAAATTCACCCTCGCTACCGGACATCGGGCTACTTTGGCCTGGCAAGGCGTCCGCATCGCCGCCTGGTATGTTACCTGGAGAATTTTCGGCGGCTGGATCGCGGATGCATATGCCGAGACCGTCTTCTCGGCGACATTGATGCGGAACAAGGCATTCAAGCAGAAGCTGCTCGAGGCGGGACAAGCGATGAAGGCGAATAGCATTACTCATGAGAGGCCTGAACTGAGGGGCGCTTATTCACTTGAGCACGAGCCGGATCATGACCACCAGGAGGATCAACAGCAACTACCACAGCACGCGCAAACACCATACTACCAGCGGATCCAGCAGCACCAACAAGAACAGAAACAACAACACCAGATGCAGCAGCAGCAGCAAACACAACAATCCACTTATAGCCATGACGATGATGATTACCTCTTCGATGATGCCTCCCCCGTAGCACCAGCCGCCAGAGGAACGGGTGCCGTTAGCTCGCCCGTCGCCCAACCTTCCGGTTCCGCATGGGACAGACTCCGACAGCAAGCAATGGGGGGCCCCGCGCAAGCACCTGGGAGCACGACCGCACCCACAGCTGCCATCTACGTCAAGCCTTCCCAGTCCCGTTCGTGGGCTGAGCGCCGTGCGGCTGCCGTAGGCGGCGGTGAGGACGGACTGTCGCATTCGTACTCAGAGACCGATCAGGAGAGGGCTCTGGCTAAGGAGCAGGCGCAAAGGGAGTTTGATGCCATGTTGGAGAGAGAGAGGCGTGGCGATGGCAGCAGTCGTAGACGTGGGCTTTGAGTGAACTTGGGTAGGATTTGGCGAACATCCAAGAGCGGCTGGCTATATGTGTACATATGATATCCTGCTTGGTAGATGTGGATGGTCTTTACCTTCCCACCTGTTCCAAGCCTGCTTGTTTACCGGAGCTGATGGAGGAGTTTTAGGGGGATTTTGATGGCTTTTGCATCGCCGGGAGTCTGGCTTGACATATGGTCTGTCTTTGTGAGTCTCAACACGAAATCTACACTGCACCCGTTTTCCCTTATGGATTCGACTTCTGGAGACTGGAACAGAAAACAAAAAAACCCTTTCTTTTCTTTTTTCTTTTTCTTTTTTCCCCTTCTAAGCCTCTGACTCGATATCCGGCGGAAATGTCCCAAACAGCGCCATGAGATGCTCTATCTCCTCCTTGCTAAGCATTTTCCCCTCCGTACCAGCCTTGGAGAGCATTCGAAAGTCTATCATCCAAGAACCCCCATTAGCATATCAAGGATCACCTACAGAGAGATCGACCAAGTAAAGGGTGTAGGCAAGGGGCAGGGTCAGAAAAAAAGGGCATACAATCGACGTAATGGCCCGGCGTGGCAGTCATATACACCTCGCAGGCTTCCGTCTCCGACGCATTTTTGAACGTGTGGATGGCTCCCGGCGGGACTGTCATGAGGTCTCCGGCCGTGGCGTCCACTTCGGCGTCGGGTGTTACGAAGCGACATGTCCCTTTTTGAGAGAAAAAAAAAAAAAAAAAGTCAGTCAGACATTGCTAAGAGAAAAGTGTCGTGTGTATTTTCCAGATCTGATTTGATGATCTCGTGTCGTATTGTATCATGCTCGTAGACAGTTGTTTGAGAAGATTACTCGTAGGGAGACCCCTTGAGTCATCTGTAGTCGCATCTTCTTCCATCTCTTCTTATATCATCTCATCTCGTCTCAAGCCCACTGCCCACTCCCATCTCAACCACTGCTCAATCCCATGACACAGCTGCCTCCTTTAGACAAAAAAGGCCAAGACGGCCAAGAGATTGAACCACCTACCCTTGACGACAAAAAACAACTCGTCATGAAACCGATGCCAATGCATGGGCGGCCCGGAAACCCCCGCTGGGAGCTCCAACAGGATGGCGCTGATGCGGTCGCCGGTGCGGGATCCGTCTTCGTAGACGCGGATGGTCATGGGCCCGACCTTGAGCACCTCGGCGGCCTGTCTGGTGGCCAGGTTGACGGGGACGGGGCCGCGGACTGGCATTGTTCCTGTTCTGTCTACTAGTATGTTTTTCGTGGGGATGATGAGAATTTTTCTGGAATAAATGAGGATGAAGAATAAGATAATAAATGGGATGGAAGGTTAGGGGAGAATGTGGATAAAGTGGAAGTACGGTGGCCCAAGTGTGCGTTAGGCCGTTTATCCAAAAGTTCCAAAAACAAAAGTCTATACCAGCTGCAGGCATTAGGCTTGCACTGGGGGGTAGTATTAAATCCTTGTACATAACCTTGATAAACTGTCTCCCACAAAGTCAATTCCCATTGATTCTCATTAACTCCCATTAACTCCCATTAACTCCCATTGCTTCATTGCGAGCCGGGCTATAGACAGACTACCCCCCTTCCCTATATCTAGACTACTTAACCGCTTAGGGCAAGGCTTCTCAGCTTTTCTCCGCCGTACAAAAAAAAGTCTTACAATAGGCCAAAGAAGTATAGAATCCTCAGTCTTCGCCCGGGTAGGAAGATGTATTCTAAAATATTGTACTTGGACTGTTTGGTAGTAATTTATATTAATATTTTTACTTAGTTGAGATCTGAGTTTGACTAGACTTACTTTTTTTTCCTTTTTTCCTTTTTTTTTCTCTTTTTTTTAGAGGGGAGTACATTTGGTGAAAGTACATTACCCTATCCAGAATAACAAGAAAAGTAACTAACTATTTCTTGGAAGAATTTGCGAAAATGACCGATCGTAAGCTAACAAACTTTCACTTTATCTTTGCAGTGGAATGTTATCGATTGAAAAGATTAGTCAAATTCCTTAGAGCTATACTTTAAGCGGTTAAATAGTTTAGATATAGGGAAGGGGGTAGTCTGTCTGTAGCCCGGCTCCTTCATTGCTTCTTTCTTTCGGACGGGGTCTGTTAAGATTTTTAAGTAGTAGTACAAATGGACATTGTAATAGCCTAGTTGGTTCTTCTCCAAATTTTGGAGTTGGGGTACTTGAGGGGTTCTAAGCGCCAAGGCTCCTGATATGGACTGCTTCTGCCTCAAAGAACAACCCTGCAATTGATATGCAAAAGCAATAATATTATTCCTGTGTAAAGCGTGATACAGAAGGAAGAATTAGGAAGAATAGGAGCCGCACGCAAATAGATTAATATAATTCATCTAGGCGGACCCACCTCCTTATCTTATCGCTCAGACCCACCCTACAGCCCGGCAGGCGGGCTAGGCAGGGCGGTCAAACGACCTACATACACTATCAATTACTAAGCTAATCTACATACATAAAATAGACCGTATCAAATCCCAACTCGCTAGAGGAAAAAGCAACTATCCTCAATTATCTTTAAAAATTAAACCTTCTTCTTTTCTAACCCCTTAGAACATCCTCTACTACGTTTCTAACCGGGTTTTCCTCCTTAATAATCCTAATACTCTATTAATAACTCCTAGTAATTCTCTAAACTTTTCTCCGTTATCCAATAATTATACTAATATCCCCAGCCTTTCTATTTAATAAAGAACTTCAATTTTTTCTACACTTCCTTATACTTCAAAATTATCTCCATTTTATATTTATCATCGTACTAAGAATCCTTAATAGGGCTAAAAAGTAATAAATCTCATCCAAAAATATCCTTTCTATCGAATACTAATAATAAATATACTACAAATATTATAAGATAAATCTTTATACCCCAAAGTAATTTAAGCCGGTATATAAAATTTCTAATTTTTTTTAATATAATATATAATCCCGAACGTTATTATAAGAATTTACACAAGGGGTTACTAAAATAATAATATCCGTAATAAAATCACAAAAACACCCTATCTCCCTTCTAGAATTAAATATCGTAATAATAATTATTATATTTCCTCTTTACATTAACTACCGCAAAATCTATTACTAATATAGCATCCTATTTCAAATATTCTTTAAAAATAGGTACTTCAGAATTATATTTTAACAATAGTAGGGTATTAAAAGGGCCGTACAATTTAAATCTATATAATTATTTGTAAGGGGATATATTAACTAATTATATAAGGGTACTATTCAGATTCTATTAAAGTATTAGGAGGATATTGTACTAATTAGAATTAAAAAAACGGAAATAGTAAAACCGTATAGTAATTTTAATAATTTAATTCTTCTACTCCAATAATCCATCAATTTAAAGGTAAGAAATAATTATTATTAATAATCTAATTCCCCACGCCTTCTACATACCAGTCTATAAACTAAAAGTAAATTTACAATCTCTATCTAAAATAATACCCTTAAACATACCCTAATCGCTTAAAATAAATTATCGTATTAATACTATACCCTATTCTTCTACTATATAAGAGGAATATCCTAAAATACAGAATGTATACTTAATAGCTTTATCAATTATAATTATTAAAGTATCAAAAACATTATATCCATCAAACTTCCATAGCGAATTCTTAGCGGAAATTTCGGACAGACCTATAATGAAATTAATAGTAATAATACTTATAGGTAATATATACATATACTCTAATCTAATTATTTAATAGCTTCCATTAGGGGGGTTACAATTTATTTAATTTAATTAATATTTTAAATAATACTTTAAATACTTTTTAATTAAGCTTATTTTATAAAGGATAATTAAATTACAAAGATCGTATATTATTCGTTATTTACTAAAATAATATTTATTATTATAAATTACTTATAAAACTTCTTTAATATAACTAAAAGGTATATACAACGCCCTAAAATTATTTAAATAATTATAATAAATAAATTAATCTTACTTATTAATTATAAAAGGGTAGCCGGGTTAGTAAAATATTCTACCGTCCTTAATAATTTCCTTCAAATCGGCTAATACCTTTTTAAACTTTATATCAGAGCTATAACCCTCTACTATACAAACCTGGAATACCTTATCCATTTTTACTTCTATTAAGAAGAGGTACTAATCTCCTTCTTCTTCTACCGTAAAGTAAATTTCATTATCCTTCTACAAATTATTTAAAGCCGGTTCTCTATTTAAATTCAATCTATTGTTAACCATATATAAATAACTAAAAATATCTAATATAAAATTAAATTTACTAAGGATATAGAAAATTTAAAGGTTGTATTGTAATAAGTAAATAAATATATTAATAAGGCATCTATTCGCTCAATCTATTAATATTATACGTAAATTAATTTGCTCCACAATTCCTTTTATTACCAAATAATTAATAAATATAATAATAAGTTAATTTACTAATTAAATCGTAATTCAAAATCGCCGTACTACCCACACTAAACACACTACTTCTAATTCGGAGGGGCCATATCGGGTCTCTACTTTAATTAAACATTTATTCAAAAACATAATTAATAATACCTAACTAATTAGAATTTAAATTCTTATTTACTATTCATATCCATCCTTAAAATAAAAAATTATTACTCCGAAACCCCGCTCGAAAGAACTATTAATTTATATAAACAACTACTTATCCGGGTTATAGTAATATAAAATATTTAATTTCTTACCATCGTTTAAACTATATAAAACTTCCTAGAATACCCGGAAAAACTCCAATTCGACTAGTATTAACTTATATTTAATCGCAATACAATAATACACTTACTTACTAGGGTTACCAACTACTACCTTACCTAACTCTCTTCCCTTAACTAATAATACAACTTTCCTCGCTTAAAAAAATTCAACTAATTAAATATAATAAGGAACAAAGTACTTAAAAAAGCCTAAACTCCTAATATATTACTTAAATACTTTAAATTAATCCGGGAAAGCCAGGTTTTTCAATACCGCAATACACTTAATAATTATCAAAAAACCTAATATATCAACCTTAAATCCCAATAATTCAATACTAGGGTAGCCGAAGTAAGATTTTTTAAGGGAAATTAAAATACCCTTCTATATAAAAAAACAAAAAATTATATTTAAATATTTAAAATAATCCTCTAACGTATCTAATACAATAATAATATCATTAATAAAAACTTAATAATATACCTTATATAATACGAACAACCTATCCATAAATCGTTATATATAGGCCAACGAATTATAAAAACCCATTAAAGCAACAATTAGAATCTCGAATCCTCAATAATTAATTAAAATAAAACGATCGTAATATAATAGCTATATACCGAACTAATAGAAGAACAATATAATATTAATTACTATAATATATCGCTTATTATAAAATCTTATAATAACTTCTAATTAAAGTAGTAGTAGGTAATTATCTAGAACTATAACGCAATTAAAAACTCTCAAATCAATAACAGGGCGGCCTTTTACTTTATCTTTCACAATCCTCCATATAACAAAAACTAAATAGACGAATAATATAACTTCCTTATACTATTTTATCTTTCCCTAAGCGTAGAATTTATCGAAGATTTTATCAACTACAACCTAATCTTTTCTACTCAATAAATATATTCTTATACTAATTTTTTAATTTTACTAGCCTTCGACTAATAGGACCTTTATCTTATCCTCCTCTTTAACCTCCACTACTCGGCCTTCTTCCCATATATCCTCATATTTATAAATCAAATCCATAAATTCCTCCAACTCTACTTTTAAATACCCTCTATACACATAGACGCCTTACTTAGAGACTTCGTCCAGGATATCGCTATTTATACAAATTCCTAATATATAGTGTTTTTTAGGTATATATAGCTTTTTCTCAACGGAGTCTTCGTACTATAGTATCCTTACAAATTCCTATTATAAGAGAATATTAATATAAAAAGTACTTATAACTGATATTAAATTTATACCTAAAGTTACTATTTAAATAAAAGGGTTTAATTCAAACTCTCCTCCTAATAATACTGCTAATAGAATAAAGATTATATTATATATTCTTCAATTACTTATACTAAAATAATCCTAAGTAATAATTATTATTTAATCTAATACTACTATTCTCTATATTCTATCCTATAAAGCTTTAAAATATATACCTTCATTATTCTCAATAATAGAACTAATATAGAAATACTTATTAATCATTACTATACCGTTAGTATTATTTTTAATAAGGACTACTATCAGTATTTTAATATCGATAATTACATTAGCAACGAAAATATACTTTATATTAAATATAAAACTCCTACCCTTAAATAGCGGCTTATAATTTA